TCTTCGCGCGCCTAAAGGCCGGTTTCCGGCATGTCGTCGCCTCTTCCTTCCGAAACCCAACTCGTCGACGGCCACGCGCCCGGGCGGTAAGTTACTACCGTTCGACGTCACAATAAGGATGGGCGCGGTCATCCGCCGGAAAGAGTAGGATCGACTGCCGAATTCCGATAATAAAGCCGTACGGAAGCAACAAATTAGTCTACCGAGTTAAATGCCACGGAGTCGAGGCCGAAGCGGGCCTCGATTCCATCGCGCGTTTGCGGCGGCGGCGAAAAAATGTAGAATTGTACTCGGTCGAGAGTGACGTAGTTTGCGGCTGCAAATGCCACCGATAGAAATGACAATACGGAACAACGTTGGCGTTCTCTACAGCAGTGTTTCTTAACAGGGGGACCGCGTCCCCCTGGGAGTCCATAAGAAGTTTACCGGGGGCCGCCAAATTATACAAAATTTTCTTCAGAATATAATAAAAAGAAAATTAATGTATAACCGAATATCGTATTGAAAAGTGAAATAAGAAAGATAAAGTTTTCGTATTTACAAGTTAGTTTTTTTTATATTTATTTCTTTCTTCCTATATACAACTTTGTTAGTACAGAAGAAATATAAATGCAAATATGCTACTTACACCGCAGTATGTACTGATTTTATTCGAAAGTAATTCTAAGAAACTATTAATGGTTGGAATTTTTAAAATAATTAGGAAAAATAGTAAGCTTTGAAAATTTAAGTGTTTTTGCAAAAGATATGCAAAATCTTTACAAGTTGTCGGTGTTTTAGTTTTAGTTTAGTTTTAGCATCGACTTTGGATAGAATAATAGTACATTTCTTTCTTACATTGTGTGTTTAGTTTTATTTATTTATAATTAACCCATAAAAATGAGCAAAAAACAGAAAGGAACATTAGAAAATTTTTTAATATAGGTAATCGCGGATCAGGACCTTCAAAAAAGAAAATACTAGTGAAAATTCCGATGATGATACAGTGAAAAATGCAACGGAAAAAACCACAAGTCCTAAAACTGAAGGTATAAAATTAAGTAACATTAAAATTAGAAAATACGACCGTGATTATATCAAATGTGGGTTCGTAAGCGTTGAAGTTCAAGAAATTTCATATGCGGTGTAGTTCTCTCCGATGAAGCAATGAAACCAAATAAATTATTGAAAAAATGGGGGTCACAAAAAAATTATGAAATATTTGGTGGGCCGCGAGTATAAAAAGGTTAAGAACCACTGCTCTATAGTACTATAAACAAAATGGCGGACCGAAGTAAAGAAAGTTTACGTTTTGTGGCGGCCAAATTACTTAATGCCGCCAACTTCCAGACCGTAACGTTAACTAAAATCGTTTTTAAAAATCTCTTTATGCTAGAACTTTAAAATTTATTTTCGATAAAGTTCGTTCCGTCACGTTTTGACAGAGAAATAACTTAAAAAATAAAAAAACCATCCGGCAATGACTCGAGCAACTTTCCCGGCAAAAAACTTTAAGCTCTGGAGGCGCCATCCGTTATAAGATTTTATTTTAAAGCCTTTTTATATTATTAATTATCATAAAATGGCAAAAGATGAATTTCATAAAAATTGTAAATGCTAATAACCAGTAAAATCTTCGTCTAAGTCTGACGGCACCGGAGTTACCACGCACCCCCATATCCCTACTCCTTCATCTTTCAGCACCAAAATTTCAGAAATTTTCGTCAGAAAGCGCGGGAGTTATCCAGCTCGGAAGTGGGCCAACAAAATCGTTCAATCACACACAAACATCTATAAACGCAAAATCTCCAAATTCTTTGGCATTTTTTGCTCGACGTTTCGAGGTCTTGCGATCCAAAAACTTAAAAGTCTCGGGGGGGGGTTATTTTTCCATCGATTGACGTATTTTTCCCTCTGCTATATAAAACAACCGGGAAAGTAATACTGACAATACACCAGAAAGTAATTGGACACCTGTGATAGAACAGAAAAACGACGTTTATTCATCGTCAATAGTTGGTGGAACCTCCACGTGCGAATATTACAGCTGTGACCATTCGAGGCATACTCTCCGCCGATCCTTGTATGATGACCGGTCGTATTTTCTTCCATTCGGCTTGGAGAAGACATGTGGGTTCATTAATTAACCGGTTTCGGGCGGTGGGGCCACCCCTTCAGTCGACACTCCAACTCGTCCGGAGGTGCTCGATAGGGTTCAGGTCCGGGCTCTGAGCAGGCCAATCCATTGGATTAATCCCATTGTCATTATGCCAAGCAATGCTGGTCATCGCAACATGACAGCTGGCGTTATCGTCCTGGAAGTAACATGGATTCAACCCGTACAACCACCACAACGTAAGAAACACGTGGTTATCCAAAATAGCGCAGTAGGCATCGGCGTTGAGCCTACTCCCTCATACACACAAATCTAGGCTGTCCCTGCTCCGCCAAATGCACTACAAGGTATGATAGAGACTATGTCTGAATCATAGGAAGCGATCGGACACCCCGCAACAACTAGGTGTCTTGGACTCTTTTATGTCGAGCCTAGGGGAGGCCAGGCCTGATCACCCTGATGGTAGGCGTTGAGCCTACCATCGATTCCGACCAAGGGTCCTAGGTCATACCAGGAAAAACACCCCTACACCGTAAGTCTACCTCCGCGGAACTTCACTGTTGGCACAACACATTCCCGCAGGGGGCGTTTTCTAGGCAGACGCCGAACCCGGACCCTATCATCCGAACGGAAGAGGGTGAACCTGAATTCGTCGATTCAGAGAACCTGTTTCCACTCTTCTACGGTCCATTGCCGACGTTCTTTGCACCAAGCTAGCCGAGCAGCGCTGTTTATTCTGGTGATGAAAGGCTTCTGGGCGGCAGCACGTCCATCATAACCGAGCAGATGGGCTTTCTTACAATGGTATTCATCGAAACAACAGTCCCAGTTGCCATTTGAAAATCCCCACGTATGTGGTCCATCGGTTGGATGCCGTTCTTTCGAATTTCTCTGGACAGCACCCGTTGGTCTCTAACTCCCAGTTGTCGGAATAAGCCTGCCTAGTTGGGGCTTCCACTTTCGAATCACGTAGCCCACTGTCGATTTTGGGTACTTCAGCTCACTGGATATGTCACGTATGGATCGGCCATTTCTGTGATAACCAACGATTATACCTTTCTCGAAATCAGACAGCTCCGAAATGCGTGGCATGTTGCAATGCGGTCGATGCCGAATTTCTTCCCCACCTGATATTTATCCGCGATGGCTATGAGGCGTATTAGGACAGTGCATGTTGCTGTTTGTAGGGGCATCCAATTATTTTCTGGCAGGTAGTGTATTTGTAATAGTGATTTTGCGCCGGTCATTTCTACATTCTTTACGGCTCGCTCGGTACAGTTACGGCGTTTTTCGTATCCCCGGGATTAACGGTCGTTTCCCCATCGACGTCCTCCGCCATTTTCCGGATCTGTCCACGCTGGTTACATTCCCTTATTCTCGTCAGACGTGAGTGGTAATTTTTCTCGGGAGCGCGATTGTTTTCGCGGTGACACAATCTACTAGCGTAGCGAGGGAGGCAAGGGGTTCTAGCATGCCCCGGGCGCCAAATGGTCTCCAAGACAAACAAGAATTTGTTTCTGGGGGAGGGGTGTCAATAAAGTGTCGTGCCCCTGGCGCCAGTTATGTTCGCTATGCCACTGACACAGTCACCGCCAGAAAGGACGATTGTCCCCGGCCACCGTCTCTTTCCCGCACCCGGTAGTTTAAAACAGACGACGAGTCGAATGGCGGCAGCATTTATTCCGCTCTTCGTAAATTTACTTTCCTGGCGTTACACGGAAGAAAAGAATTTAAATTTGCAGTCTCCGAACTGCGACGGCTGGAAGGGTAAGGTGACTGGGCGTAGTCCGGTGGAAAACGGTTACGCGAGATCTCGAAACGACGAGAATTTTACTTTTGCCGAATTGGCCAAAGTTGGCGACGGAGTTCGAGTGTCGAACCGAAAGAAAGACGGTCTGGTAGACAGATCCCGCCTGGGCACCTCTATGAGAAACGGATTCCTACAAACCGATATTTATTCCCGGAGGATGTATTTGGCGTCCAAACGAAAGTAGCCCACCAGTGGCCAAGTGGTCTTCATTCCCTGAACACTGGAAATTCGGTCGTGGGTTCGCCCCTCGCTCGGACGGGCTAGCCACGTGAAGTTTTCCGGGTTTTCTACACGTCTAAACGCCTAAATAGGGGCCAGTTTCAATTAAAAAGACCTCCCGGAAGGCATCCCCTAGGCAGATCGCCGAAATGTTGCGTTTCCATAACTTAACTAACTTAACCAAACGAAAGTTTTTCGCTCCGCTGTGGCCAGGGGAAAAGTGCGGATAGCGGATGCAATGTAAAACATTTCCACCGGATGAAACAGCGCTTCAAGAAGTACCCACACGTCCGGGCCGACCGAGTGTAATTTGTAATTACGGCCGAAATATCCGACTCGTACTACGTTCACCCGTCTGTATTGAGCGACTTTAAAATGACGTATAATACATTTGCCTTTTGAGCCCGTTCGTCGTCGGTCGAAAATGGCAGAATTTTTCGGGAGCGATACGTCGGACCGGTCTCATTCCACCAGGACCCGGCAGAATCCGTAACGGGCTTCCCAAAAAAACGTCTTAGTGACCGCCAGGCGGAAAAAGTTAGAAAACCGATCTCTCATCACCCGGGATTTCGTCCTTTTTAACTCCTTTTAACCACTGGCGAAAAATTCCGCGTATTTTCCACCGGTTGGATTGGATCCCAAATCCTCCCGGCGGTAGGCCGCCATCTAACCTTTCGGCCATCCACCACCCGGGAAGATCCGGCTTTAGATAAATATCAAAATTCTAAAATAAAAATACCACCCGGAAACTAATTTTAGAATTGTGGACGGGACTAAATAACTAAATATGTGTTGTTACAGAGTTCTAAGCGCAAACTCGGAAAGGTAATTTGCATTTAAAACGGAAAAAGAGAAAATGAAAAGAAGGGTACTCACTGATATTCCTTGACGTGGTCTTCGAGAATGCCGCTATCTTCGGTCAGATAGGAACACTTGAGACAGGCCAATTTTCCGTGTAGTCTCCAGACGTGGGTGGACAGACGTTCGGCCCTGGCGGCTTTGTAATCGCACAGAGAACAGGCGAAAGGCTTTATGTGCGTGTTGAGATGCCTTCTGAGACACCAGCTGTCCACGCCTCTCCACGGACAGTACAGACACACGAAAGATTTGAAATCCTTTTTTCTGTTCGTTTTCTGATCGGGGAGGACTCGAACGGGAACGGAGGAAGAGGCGGGGGTCTGATAGCCATTCTGAACCCGCGTCTGTCTCCAGTGATTAGGTACCAGACTTCTGCTGCGCGAGGGATGCCTTCGAATTAGCGAAACGTTATAGGGATAATTTTTGTGAATGCGGAAAAAGTGCTTCTTGACGTGGTCGGCCCTGTTAAACATCTTGAAACAGACGTAACAGTGAAAAGGTTTGTCTTCCCGATGAATATTCTCGTGTCTGGCGTACAGATCGCGTCGATCGGTAGCGTAGGGACATTTGGGGCAGGCGTACCGTTTGTCGGCGCCGTCGGCGGTTTCCTTGTCGGCACATTCGGTTTCGTTTTTGAGGGTCTGCAAGATCTTCAGAATCTCTTCCAACAGGGGCTCTCCTTTCCACAGCGTGGTGGGCACGTTTCGGACTCCGTGATGCTTGGACAGATGCATTCGCACGCACCGCGACCAGGCGCTGCTGTAGGGACAGCGCGGACACTGGAAAACCTTGGCGTTGGCGTGGGTTCCCAGGTAATGCTCGGCGATCCTGGACATGAACCCTACCGTTCCGCATACCACGCACCGAAACATCTTGGTCTCGGGATTGTACGAGGCCACCGGAGAGTTGTCCCAACTGAGACGTCCGCTGCCGAAAATCCATTCTTGCTTGGGGCCGGGTCGCTGTCGATGCGAGGAACACTCCACTCGGGGATTGCAGCAGATGCACTTGTCGTAGTGGCCGTTGGACACGTGTCTGGCCGGACGCTGCGGCCCGGTCGACTCTTCGGTGGTTTCTTTTTCCACCTCCGGACGGCCGTCGCTCATCTCTTCATCGAAATTTCGCAAGTTTTCGCCTGAAAGACAAGAAAGAAACGTTAAAAAACCCGACCGCTTTAGGTCTCGAAATGTCAGAAGGTCGTCACGTGTTAATCGTTCTGGGCCTTTCTTACGAAATGTTACGCGGCCATCGATTTTCCCAGTAGGCCTACGTTTATTCGCGTCTGCAGTCGAGGACGCCGACCCGCGTACTTCCGCCCGCCTATAATCCACCACCGTAAAATGCTAACGCCGACGGCCTAACCGGCGTAAGTGGCCGACGACAATTTTCGAAACTAACAAATCTAGTCTGGCAGTGTAGGGCGGTTAAAAGCGCCCGTCCGATGAAAACCCATTCCACTAATATTTGCGGGCGGACCCAGATGCTGGGTCCGCGTGCTAAGCTAAGAGGAATAATAGAATACAATTTTATTTCTTTATTTCGGGACGGCGAAATACGTTACGTTGAAACCAGCGAGGAAATTAGTCAAATAGTACGAAGGGGGATTTAATAACTTTTCCAGTTCTTTTTTTTCCCAGGAAAACACTCGTTTATCTGCGCTTCTCCACTTAAATTTCCGAAGGACAAAACTATCAATAATTATACACCTACATCCTCTTCCGACAATAATTCTCGGGGGCCGTCCTCAGTGCCGCAAAGACATGCTCGATCCCCATACTTCGTCCTTTCCCTTTCGCCATCCACGCCGTTTGGCCTAAGTGCGAAAGCGAAACTCGATTCCGTCCCACCGATTTGCAAAACGCCGCGGTGACGGACGGACATACAAATCGCGTGAAAAGCTAACAAAAATTAAGGCGCAACTTACGATAAAAACTGAAAATCGATGGGAATCGTCTCCGCGCCGCCGAAACGTCCGGGAACGTCGGGAATTAGTGGCGGTTGGCAATGGGGCGCCTCCCGAAGTCCTTCTACGAGAAACCGGGCCCAGTTATAACCGAAAAGAATATTCGGTCCAACGGGAAATCCCCTACCGTTTTCTATCTCGGTGGCAATTACCGATGGCTCCTACATTCTACAGAAGGCCCCAGACCAGGAACAAAAAGGCCAGCCCCCTTTTTTATGTTTCCACCGTTTGTAAACTTAGAAAAATGTGCCCAAGTTTATTTTAATCGTATAATACACGGCAAAAGGAACCCCACCGGATTCGTCGCCCGCACTGGTCCCGTACGACGAAGTAACGATTCTCCGGATTCGTCGGTCGACTGCCGATTTAACCGGAAGGCGGGTGTTGGATATTGGTGGAGAAATTTGGCAACTTCCGGTTATTAAGCGTTGCCAGTCGGACCCAAGCACAAAAACCGCACCACTCCGACGGGGAGAAAGAAGAGGGAAGCTTCGGGCACAGGCATGGGGGCTTACNCTAACGCCACCCGAAGAAGTGGGCGCTACTGGCCCCGGAGGGCGGCGAATAAACGTAGGGGAGCAACCAGATCCGGATGGTGCAGGTTCCATCCGGATCTGGTCGCTCCCCTACGTTTACTCGCCGTCTTAACGGAAGAAAGGGACCGTGGGTTCGGAGACCCGAACCCACGGTCCCTTTCTTCCGTTAAGACGTGGACATTTATGGCCGAGCATTGCGTTCAGTGTTTCTGGATACGGAAAACAATGAACGGCAATGACACCGGGTGCCAGGTCGATAGAAAAAGTTTTTTAAGGAATTTTTAAATTAATTCACGTATATTTAATATGACTATCTTCTGGTAATACGCTTCGATTGCCACCGTCTATTTGAGGACGATAAAAACAAAATCGGAGACGATAAAAATTCCTTATTTAATAATAATATATTTTATAAATTATCAAAATGCATTTCGGCTTTACAAATTTAAGCCCTTTTTGATTAAGAAGTTTATAGTAAGAGGTCTAAAGAATACCGGAACTCCCGATAGATAAAAATACCTTACGTGAAAAAAAATCTATAATATTGATAGATATTTCTTAAGATTATCCTCCTTTCCGATCTTATGACCGAACACTGGCAAGCGATAGTATATTACAATATTAAATATATGTAAATTAGTTTAAAATGTTTAGCAGTCACTCCGTAAATATAAGGCAACTTTATTGTTCGTCTTATTTATTCTATTTTTGTAAGAAATATTTCCCAGCTTTTCTCGCGCCGGGATAAACGGGTCAGGTAGCGTCAGGTATAAGTTTGTGGAACCCGGAGCGATGGACGAAAAGGTGGCAGTGGCCGGTCCGACGGCTAAAGGGGACCCATTTCCCGGTCCCATGCATTTATAAACAAACGTCGATTTACCGTTCCAAAATCGAAATTAATAAACGTGACTTGCTCTGTAACGAAGTGATTGCGCCAACCGCAGTTAGCGTAAAGTCGTATACCGTCGGACTCTCGTCACTTCCAAGACGCATTTACACTTCGGACCAGATCGAACCGCGGTAAAACGAAATGGTGTGGTTTCTGTCCGACGGACGGAATGCAAATCTTTAGATAAATGCCGGGACTTGGCCGATAATTAAACTATTGTCTAGGTTGTTGCCCAGCGCACTATCGACTGGATAAATTGCTTAATGTAATATGATTGCTGTTTATCCAATTTCTATATATAACGTCCCTTTAATCCAAAAACTTGTTTGGTAGACGGTTTCACAGCATTTCTGGTTAGAAAATTACGACTTTATTTCAAAACAACTCATATTATACATCAGATTATACAAATGCATTTCGGGTTGGTGTAAGTTTACAACTCCTCTTCAGTGTTGTTTGAAAAAACATTATACAAGGATAATTAACATTATACAAGGATAAGGACAAAGGATAATCCCTAATTACGACACGACATTACTCAAATATCGCGAAAAGAAAGATTTTTTTACACAAAAAATAAACACTTACATATCATATAAGGACACAAACTAAAAATTCTATTTCTATCAATACATTTGTATCTTCCATAGATATACATAACAATCGACTATATTATATAAAAAATATAAATTATGGGATTGTTATGTATATCTATGGAAGATACAAATGTATTGATAGAAATAGAATTTTTAGTTTGTGTCCTTATATGATATGTAAGTGTTTATTTTTTGTGTAAAAAAATCTTTCTTTTCGCGATATTTGAGTAATGTCGTGTCGTAATTAGGGATTATCCTTTGTCCTTATCCTTGTATAATGTTAATTATCCTTGTATAATGTTTTTTCAAACAACACTGAAGAGGAGTTGTAAACTTACACCAACCCGAAATGCATTTGTATAATCTGATGTATAATATGAGTTGTTTTGAAATAAAGTCGTAATTTTCTAACCAGAAATGCTGTGAAACCGTCTACCAAACAAGTTTTTGGATTAAAGGGACGTTATATATAGAAATTGGATAAACAGCAATCATATTACATTAAGCAATTTATCCAGTCGATAGTGCGCTGGGCAACAACCTAGACAATAGTTTAATTATCGGCCAAGTCCCGGCATTTATCTAAAGATTTGCATTCCGTCCGTCGGACAGAAACCACACCATTTCGTTTTACCGCGGTTCGATCTGGTCCGAAGTGTAAATGCGTCTTGGAAGTGACGAGAGTCCGACGGTATACGACTTTACGCTAACTGCGGTTGGCGCAATCACTTCGTTACAGAGCAAGTCACGTTTATTAATTTCGATTTTGGAACGGTAAATCGACGTTTGTTTATAAATGCATGGGACCGGGAAATGGGTCCCCTTTAGCCGTCGGACCGGCCACTGCCACCTTTTCGTCCATCGCTCCGGGTTCCACAAACTTATACCTGACGCTACCTGACCCGTTTATCCCGGCGCGAGAAAAGCTGGGAAATATTTCTTACAAAAATAGAATAAATAAGACGAACAATAAAGTTGCCTTATATTTACGGAGTGACTGCTAAACATTTTAAACTAATTTACATATATTTAATATTGTAATATACTATCGCTTGCCAGTGTTCGGTCATAAGTTCGGAAAGGAGGATAATCTTAAGAAATATCTATCAATATTATAGATTTTTTTTACCACGTAATGTATTTTTACCTATCGGGAGTTCCGGTATTCTTTAGACCTCTTGCTATAAACTTCTTAATCGAAAAGGGCTTAAATTTGTAAAGCCGAAATGCATTTTGATAATTTATAAAATATAATATTATTAAATAAGGAATTTTTATCGTCTCCGATTTTGTTTTTATCGTCCTCAAATAGACGGTGGCAATCGAAGCGTATTACCAGAAGATAGTCATATTAAATATACGTGAATTAATTTAAAAATTCCTTAAAAAACTTTTTCTATCGACCTGGCACCCGGTGTCATTGCCGTTCATTGTTTTCCGTATCCAGAAACACTGAACGCAATGCTCGGCCATAAATGTCCACGTCTTAACGGAAGAAAGGGACCGTGGGTTCGGGTCTCCGAACCCACGGTCCCTTTCTTCCGTTAAGACGGCGAGTAAACGTAGGGGAGCGACCAGATCCGGATGGAACCTGCACCATCCGGATCTGGTTGCTCCCCTACGTTTATTCGCCGCCCTCCGGGGCCAGTAGCGCCCACTTCTTCGGGTGGCGTTAGACGCCGGAAGACTCCGCGCGGCCACGACCGGCGTTGGAAGATGTCGTCCGTTCGTCGGGCCGTTTACTTGGAAACCATGCCACTTCCGCGTAGGCACTAAACACATAGATGTATCGCACACACGCCATGCACTTAGTTTAAAATCGTAGCGAAAAATAACAGAAACGGCGGCACCGGAAGTCCACCAACGGTGACGAAATTTTTGAACCAGCCAGCGAGCGAGCGAGCGAAAGCGTTGGCCCGGGGGAAAGCCGGGCAAGGGACGGAGGGGTTGGTACTAAGGGATCGAATCGCGGCGAATTTTTTGGCGAATAATCTATAAACTCCTTTTCCTTCGAATTTCTAGTTTTAAAATCTGGAAAAATCGTTCCGGCCGACGCCGCGCCAACCAGTCCAAGGCGGCGCCATCTGTCTACTGCCTTTCCGTCTAGTTACGGCTAAGCACGAAAATCCAGAGAAAACGACGGGTGGACTGATCCGTTTCCGTTCTTCTTCGAATTTACCGCTTCATCGGCGGCCTTTCGGAAATTCCCGACGACGGTCGATCGAACACCGAAACGGCCATCGACCGACGTATCCGGAACTTGCGTAGACGACCAAGCGCTTCCGTTTTCCGCATAAAATTCCCCGTTCAGTCCAAATCGGGTTTCTGGACAGGTCGGCCCGCGGAAGCATCTTCCGCACCCTTTTCGCACCTCTTTGTCACGGAAACGGCAGAGGCGGGCGGTTGTAAACCGGTAAATCCGGAAGCGGAAATTCTCCGCCAACGAAAGAATTTTCGTTTTCTATTCCCGTCGCGTGGTAATGGCAGTGCCGACGTGGGGAGCGGATTGGCCGCCGCTGTCCTACCCCCGACGAAAGTCGACACGTCTCCCCCCATCGATCGACGGAACGAAATCGAAGACGTCCGGAAGAGCCGAAACCGTCGCGTCCGGCGTTTCTTTCCGTGGGGGCGAGGAGGAACTCCCGGCGCCGGGCGATCGATAGCTTCGTTGGCTCTGTTCGGGGGTAAAAAGGAGAAGAGGTTCTCCCAACCGCGTCCCTCTCGGCGCCTTCCCCTCCCGCCGCCCGACGATGGAGACGTCCCGTTCTCCCGCGCCGTCGAAAGGGGGCGACGGCCGGTTTCCGCCCCCGCCGTCTCCTTTACCGCTTCCACCTCCTTTTCGCTCGGCGACGGACCGAGTACGCCCAAACGGTTTCTCATTTTCCCCCACCTCTTTCGTTGCCATCCATCCTCCTCTTTCTCCCCCGGCGCCCGTTTTCCCCGAATTAATTTCGAGTTTTCCTTCCAGATGTCGCGACGCGCCACTTCTTTTCGCCGCGTCGATTTCGTCTTCCTTAAGACTTCTTAATGTTTTGCCCCGTCCGACGGTCGGAATATAAGTGGCCCGCGACTTTCGTCGGCCCTCGGCTGGCCGCCCCGTTCCCGGTTAACCGGCGGTCGACGTGAAAGAAAGAGGCGCCTCCGCCAGTAAGGTCGATACCCTTTCGCGGGCGTCCCTCTCCCGGCCGGAGAACGGGTCCCCGACCGCTTCCGGTTTGGGCCGCCGCGGGACTCTCGTCCGCCCGACGGCGCCGGCCGGAAACGCTTCCGTCGGTGCGGAAGAATACCCTATGCCGGACGGGCTGCTTCGCGCCATATCCTTCCGAGGCGGAGAAAGGAGAGCGCGGAAAGCGGATGGAGATCCGCCGGTCGGTGGCTTCGCCGTTCTTTCTAGTGGACGCTCTTTTCCGTTCGTCGATTAGAAATGGCGAAGAACAAAAAAAAAAAAAACAAAAAGACGAATATCGACGGATGTCTTCGTCGGTCGGAGACGTTTCGTTCCGGCGGATACAAAAATTTACGTTTAAATATTCGCCGCCGAGAGGAAAGCATTCCGTCGGTACGGAACCGCCGTTTTTGTTTCGTTCCGACCGCATCGGTCTTTGAACGAAGGTCGCGTCGGGATCCCGGAAGAGCGCCGCTCGTCCTTCCAAAAACAGACGAAGGGCGTCGCGGCGGCACCTTTCCCCCCTCGAAACCCAAATCGGGCGTCTGGCTCCTCCAAATTCGCCGGTGCCGGGAGATTGCCTTGGCGTCTTCTTCACTTAATTACCGGGCCGAAGGACAGGCAATTCCGCGCCGATCGGCGCGCACACGTGGGTTAGCCTATAACCGCGTTAACGGGGCCGGAAGGTTGCCAGTCGATACGTCGACTGGGCTCCGGCATTGCGGCCGAGGGGAGGGAAGGCGGACGGGGAGGGCGCCTTCGTCCCGCGCCACCCGGGCCTCGGGACGGAGTTCGATGCGGGCCGACCGCGAGGTGGAGGTCCGAGGGGCCACCGGTCGAACCGGCAGTCGCTCTCTCCACCCCTTTCGTCCCGTCGTCTCCGAACCAACGAAAGGGTGGCGGGCGAGCGACGCGGCCGACGACAAACGCCGCCCCTAACCTTCCCCCGCGTACGCGCCCCGAAAGACGTAAATTTACGAACCCCGGATTCACTCACCTGGCGCTAGCGGAGAGATTCGCCGAGGAGCGGAGCGGGAACCGTCGGACGCGGCCGTCCTTTCTACACCGTTGGCTACGCAACACGCCCCTCCACCCACTGCGCGAACGGGGACGGGGAGGCCGTGACGTCGAGAGACCGGGTCACGTGACGCGCCGAGGTGGTATAGGGGGCGGTGCCCGATCGCCCCACGCATTCCGAAACGGGGAGGCGCGGAGGAGGCGGTCGAGACGGGGGTGGCCCGGGAGGGTTTCCGCCGTTAAAAATTTATCGCGCCGGCTTCTTTCCGCCCCGGACTGCCGGCCGGCGCCTCGCTTCCTTTCGAACCCGTTTCCGTTTTTTGGAGGAGGAAAGAATTTTCCCCGTGGAAGAAAAGCCGCGGATGCCAACCGTCTCTCCTCCTCGGCACCGCGTTCGGATATCGTCTCCCAATTCCGATAATTAAGCCCGGGTTCGGGTAATGCGCGCGCGATAGTGAGGGACGAAGAAGGAACCGGCGTCTTAAGCCATCCGCACCGTCTCTTCGTCGCCTCTGCGCCGCCGTCGTCGAGAGGAAGCGACGGTGCCGGTTTCCGTCTCCGTCGTATTTGGTTCCTTATCCGCCATCCGCTGAGCGGATCCGTCGGAGGTAGCGGGCCGACGCCTGGCCGTCCTGCAGACTTCCCACCCAACGAGACGGTAACGCCATCTGGTCGTCCGTCGGAAAATTAGGAAGATGTTTTCCTCGACCCTAACGAGAGTTTCCTCTAATTTCGTTTCCCGTCGCGTTTACCGAACGGAGGAAATTTTCGAAAATTGAAGGAACGGAACTGTTAGCCAATGTCCAGAAATTTCAGAACTTTTGACGTAAATAAAGTTCTGCCCTCTAACGTCGAAAATGGGCAACTCGGATTATAATTAACGGAGTTACATAAACTATTTTCTTTTTTCACTCGAAAGGAGAACGACAACGGAAAAGGCGTTTTCTATGCCATACTTTTTTACAAATTTTTGTAAAATTTTCCCCGTATTTAAAATAAATTTATAAGTAATTACTAGCATTTCAGAAAGTAACAAACGGTTATAAAATAACATTTCGGAAAATAATTGTGTGAATAACTGATGACAAAGAATTTATAAATAAAAAAAACTCAAAAGGACTNGACTGCCGATTTAACCGGAAGGCGGGTGTTGGATATTGGTGGAGAAATTTGGCAACTTCCGGTTATTAAGCGTTGCCAGTCGGACCCAAGCACAAAAACCGCACCACTCCGACGGGGAGAAAGAAGAGGGAAGCTTCGGGCACAGGCATGGGGGCTTACCGCGCGTACGGTAAGTTCGGACGGCGTTACGGATTCATGGGGCCAATTATTCTGGTCGGAAGTGGACACTTGGCGTCTTTAAAACAATTTTTCCGACTGTAAACTTCGGCATCCGCAGAATTTTTTAAAGTCCGAAACGTCAGAAAATGCAAAACAAAAAATTTGGAGATTTTTCTATACGCGTGGATGTTAATACGCGAGTGCGGGCAGGGCAGAATTTCGTCCACCCAACTCCTAGTTTAATAACTTCTGAGCCTTTTGGACGAAAATTTCTAAAATTTTGCAGGAAGATTTGCGTATTAGTAGATCGATGCTATTAAATTTTGTTTGCTAAAGACGGAAGGAGTACGGAGATAAAGGGTAGCGTTTGGTATCTCCGGTGCTGTGGGACATAAGATTTTACTCGTTAGCATTTTAATTTTTTTTTTTTTTTTTATAAATCTCGTCTCTACCTTGGAAATTAAGGTTTTTGGAATTTTATAATAAAAATAATATTATTAATATTAATAAAGTTTTAAAAATAAAATCTCGCAACGGATGTTTTAACAGTTTTAAAAATTTGGCCAAGAAAGTTACGCGACTCGTCCGTTTTTAACTTCTTAGTCGTCCCAAGTTTAAAACCTGGGACGACTAAGAAGTTAAAAACGGAGGAAAAATTAAGTAGGCGCGGATAAAAATGAATGTAAAAAAGAACGACAGGAGTAACGAAATGAGAAAGCTAATTAATAATTTATAACGAATTCGTACCATATTACTAAATAGTGGAAATCCAGTTTACTCCGGATAAAGACCGGAGATGGTAACTCAAATTACTCGATACTTAAGGAATTATCGTCGGGATTAATTATAACATTGGTTTTATTAACTACGACAACCGCATCCGTACTCGTCCTCCCGCTGCCCTAACCAGAGAAACACCAAACGCCTCCGACCGGTAGAAGCCGGCCGGTGCAGTGGCATAAAGCGAAAAGGTGAATATGGTATTATCCGCCGATGCTCTCTGTTAATCGAAAACCTCCATTTACGAATCACATTTCGCACGTTCTCACGTACGACGGATCGTCAGTTACCGGTTATCGCCCGACGACGAGATCCGCCGCCAACTTTTCCATTGCACAATTAAATCGTTTTCTGACAAACGCAATTTATCCAATTTATATATATAACGTCCCTTTAATCCAAAAACTTGTTTGGTTGACGGTCTGACAGCATTTCTGGTTAGAAAATTACGACTTTATTTCAAAACTGAACTCATATTATACATCAGATTATACAAATGCATTTCGGGTTGGTGTAAGTTTACAACCCCTCTTCAGTGCTGTTTGAAAAAAACATTATAATTAGGGACACGACATTACTCAAATATCGCGAAAAGAAAGATTTTTTTTACACAAAAAATAAACACTTACATATCATATAAGGACACAAACTAAAAATTCTATTTCTATCAATACATTTGTATCTTCCACGGCCTAACCGGCGTAAGTGGCCGACGACAATTTTCGAAACTAACAAATCTAGTCCGGCAGTGTAGGGCGGTTAAAAGCGCCCGTCCGATGAAAACCCATTCCACTAATATTTGCGGGCGGACCCAGATGCTGGGTCCGCGTGCTAAGCTAAGAGGAATAATAGAATACAATTTTATTTCTTTATTTCGGGACGGCGAAATACGTTACGTTGAAACCAGCGAGGAAATTAGTCAAATAGTACGAAGGGGGATTTAATAATTTTTCCATTTCTTTTTTTCCCAGGAAAACACTCGTTTATCTGCGCTTCTCCACTTAAATTTCCGAAGGACAAAACTATCAATAATTATACACCTACATCCTCTTCCGACAATAATTCTCGGGGGCCGTCCTCAGTGCCGCAAAGACATGCCCGATCCCCATACTTCGTCCGTTCCCTTTCGCCATCCACGCCGTTTGGCCTAAGTGCGAAAGCGAAACTCGATTCCGTCCCACCGATTTGCAAAACGCCGCGGTGACGGACGGACATACAAATCGCGTGAAAAGCTAACAAAAATTAAGGCGCAACTTACGATAAAAACTGAAAATCGATGGGAATCGTCTCCGCGCCGCCGAAACGTCCGGGAACGTCGGGAATTAGTGGCGGTTGGCAATGGGGCGCCTCCCGAAGTCCTTCTACGAGAAACCGGGCCCAGTTATAACCGAAAAGAATATTCGGTCCAACGGGAAATCCCCTACCGTTTTCTATCTCGGTGGCAATTACCGATGGCTCCTACATTCTACAGAAGGCCCCAGACCAGGAACAAAAAGGCCAGCCCCCTTTTTTATGTTTCCACCGTTTGTAAACTTAGAAAAATGTGCCCAAGTTTATTTTAATCGTATAATACACGGCAAAAGGAACCCCACCGGATTCGTCGCCCGCACTGGTCCCGTACGACGAAGTAACGATTCTCCGGATTCGTCGGTCGACTGCCGATTTAACCGGAAGGCGGGTGTTGGATATTGGTGGAGAAATTTGGCAACTTCCGGTTATTAAGCGTTGCCAGTCGGACCCAAGCACAAAAACCGCACCACTCCGACGGGGAGAAAGANCTTTTTCTATCGACCTGGCACCCGGTGTCATTGCCGTTCATTGTTTTCCGTATCCAGAAACACTGAACGCAATGCTCGGCCATAAATGTCCACGTCTTAACGGAAGAAAGGGACCGTGGGTTCGGGTCTCCGAACCCACGGTCCCTTTCTTCCGTTAAGACGGCGAGTAAACGTAGGGGAGCGACCAGATCCGGATGGAACCTGCACCATCCGGATCTGGTTGCTCCCCTACGTTTATTCGCCGCCCTCCGGGGCCAGTAGCGCCCACTTCTTCGGGTGGCGTTAGACGCCGGAAGACTCCGCGCGGCCACGACCGGCGTTGGAAGATGTCGTCCGTTCGTCGGGCCGTTTACTTGGAAACCATGCCACTTCCGCGTAGGCACTAAACACATAGATGTATCGCACACACGCCATGCACTTAGTTTAAAATCGTAGCGAAAAATAACAGAAACGGCGGCACCGGAAGTCCACCAACGGTGACGAAATTTTTGAACCAGCCAGCGAGCGAGCGAAAGCGTTGGCCCGGGAGAAAGCCGGGCAAGGGACGGAGGGGTTGGTACTAAGGGATCGAATCGCGGCGAATTTTTTGGCGAATAATCTATAAACTCCTTTTCCTTCGAATTTCTAGTTTTAAAATCTGGAAAAATCGTTCCGGCCGACGCCGCGCCAACCAGTCCAAGGCGGCGCCATCTGTCTACTGCCTTTCCATCTAGTTACGGCTAAGCACGAAAATCCAGAGAAAACGACGGGTGGACTGATCCGTTTCCGTTCTTCTTCGAATTTACCGCTTCATCGGCGGCCTTTCGGAAATTCCCGACGACGGTCGATCGAACACCGAAACGGCCATCGACCGACGTATCCGGAACTTGCGTAGACGACCAAGCGCTTCCGTTTTCCGCATAAAATTCCCCGTTCAGTCCAAATCGGGTTTCTGAACAGGTCGGCCCGCGGAAGCATCTTCCGCACCCTTTTCGCACCTCTTTGTCACGGAAACGGCAGAGGAGGGCGGTTGTAAACCGGTAAATCCGGAAGCGGAAATTCTCCGCCAACGAAAGAATTTTCGTTTTCTATTCCCGTCGCGTGGTAATGGCAGTGCCGACGTGGGGAGCGGATTGGCCGCCACTGTCCTACCCCCGACGAAAGTCGACACGTCTCCCCCCATCGATCGACGGAACGAAATCGAAGACGTCCGGAAGAGCCGAAACCGTCGCGTCCGGCGTTTCTTTCCGTGGGGGCGAGGAGGAACTCCCGGCGCCGGGCGATCGATAGCTTCGTTGGCTCTGTTCGGGGGTAAAAAGGAGAAGAGGTTCTCCCAACCGCGTCCCTCTCGGCGCCTTCCCCTCCCGCCGCCCGACGATGGAGACGTCCCGTTCTCCCGCGCCGTCGAAAGGGGGCGACGGCCGGTTTCCGCCCCCGCCGTCTCCTTTACCGCTTCCACCTCCTTTTCGCTCGGCGACGGACCGAGTACGCCCAAACGGTTTCTCATTTTCCCCCACCTCTTTCGTTGCCATCCATCCTCCTCTTTCTCCCCCGGCGCCCGTTTTCCCCGAATTAATTTCGAGTTTTCCTTCCAGATGTCGCGACGCGCCACTTCTTTTCGCCGCGTCGATTTCGTCTTCCTTAAGACTTCTTAATGTTTTGCCCCGTCCGACGGTCGGAATATAAGTGGCCCGCGACTTTCGTCGGCCCTCGGCTGGCCGCCCCGTTCCCGGTTAACCGGCGGTCGACGTGAAAGAAAGAGGCGCCTCCGCCAGTAAGGTCGATACCCTTTCGCGGGCGTCCCTCTCCCGGCCGGAGAACGGGTCCCCGACCGCTTCCGGTTTGGGCCGCCGCGGGACTCTCGTCCGCCCGACGGCGCCGGCCGGAAACGCTTCCGTCGGTGCGGAAGAATACCCTATGCCGGACGGGCTGCTTCGCGCCATATCCTTCCGAGGCGGAGAAAGGAGAGCGCGGAAAGCGGATGGAGATCCGCCGGTCGGTGGCTTCGCCGTTCTTTCTAGTGGACGCTCTTTTCCGTTCGTCGATTAGAAATGGCGAAGAACAAAAAAAAAACAAAAAGACGAATATCGACGGATGTCTTC